ACGAAAGTGTGTGTAAAACTGAATAAGATAAACATTTCAATTAAATTTACAGACTTTTATCACATTTCAACAAAGTTTTTGAAAATGTTGTACTTGCAAAAAATGATACATATTAAGAAACCGTTAATATAAATTCAAAGATTACAGCTCATAAATCGGAAACCACAACAATTGTCGAGGCTGTTTAATTTCAAGACGGTTATATATATTATAGTGTTTCTACTACCCAGGTGAAAGACATCTTACAAGATCTTATAAGATCTGATGATTTCTTATGCAATCTTGTTACAAGATCTTATCTTAAGATCATGTATGTATGGTAAGATTTTACAAGAAGTAATGATTCATGCTTACCCCATAAATTTTGCTACGCTGTATAGCATATATCTCCTAAAGCAATAGAACAACAACATATAACATAGTTCTTATGACAAAATTTACCATATTTTTCTTCTTTCAACTTTACACATCAGTTGAGTACAAATAAAGCGCCTGGCTATAAGAAACGTGGTTAGACACGTTCCTAAGAACAGCAGAGTCCTTCCCATGCTCGAAAATATGATGAAAAGAAAAAAAAAATTTTTTCAAAGAGGGTCCAGAGGGCATCTGTAGGGCAGAACCACAGACATAATCTTGTAAGATTTGACGAATTCTTATATGATCTTATGAAATCTTTCAAGATCTTGTCACAAGGTCTTGCAAGATCTTATGGAATCTTGTTGAATTAAAAATCTTGAGAAATCTTATAAGATTCTTGAACCAAGATTCTTATGAAATCTTGTAAGATCCTGTGAAATCTTGTAGTGTCTTGTAATATGATTTTACAAAGTCCTATTTAAGATTCTTCGCACTGGGTAGCTAAGATATTATAAGCTAATGCTAGAAATTGTTGATAAATGATGTTAAAATCTATTGCAATTTTAAAACTTGTAGATGGTCAAAATGTACAAAGTTAAAATGTTGATTATAAAATTGTTTCAATAGACAACGATTTTTTAAATATAATCCGTTTGGCCGTATTATTTCATCCAAAAAACTTTGATTTCGACATCAAAATGAAAGTAACATCGGGTTACAAAAAACCCGTAGATTTTGATTTAGTTTCACAGTTAACACCGTCAATATATTGATGTCGAATCAAAGCCTTTTTGAAAATGTATTAAAATTGATATTTGACTATCAAATTTTTAAAAGAAACTATTAATAAACCGAATGTATCTCCTAAAAAGAATATTTTGAGACTCAGAAGATATTCCATTTAAAGAGCAGACCTTTCTCTACAATTCTATGCAAGAAAATTTTTTTCAGAAGAATTAACGAGGGCAAACGGATTATATTAAAGACATCGATGTATCATTTTTTGCAAGTACAACATTTTCAAAAACTTTGTTGAAATGTGATAAAAGTCTGTAAATTTAATTGAAATGTTTATCTTATTCAGTTTTACACACACTTTCGTATGATGTGTTTAAAGTTTATTCAAATTTTTTTGTGTTGTTTATATATTCTGTTTATTCAGCATCTCTTTCAAAACACTCATGCTGTATGCTTAATTGTTACCCCAACTGTAAATGATCCCATGGGAATAATGTTCTATGATTAAAAGTATTCTGTTTATAAGGTCTGAAATATATGTAAGCGTCCATGACATAATATTATCTGTGACGTAAAATAATTACTAGTTTGTCTAACATTTCCTTTTTTGTACATAGATGATATAACATAGTAACGAATATTTGTTAAGATAAACCTTCATAATAAGGAGACAGAAACGGGAAAATATGTATTTATTTCTATAAAAATAAGTATTATTCTTAAAGAAATATCACCATTGTTCGTGTATATTCATACCATTGTACCATTTCATACATCTCTTCTTTTTTCCAATTTTATGTCCCTATAGTTTTTCTATTCAAAGTCAGATAAAGCGTTAAACCATGCATATATCAACAGCTGTCGCTCTTTCTATCTTTATCATTGTGCTAGCCTATGAATCGGCAGAAATTAGTGGAAATCCAATCGCTGTAAAAAGTGCAGCAAAGGTAGCAGCGGTAAATAAAACAATAACAACTCACAGCAAAAATCCAGCAGTAGATAAGGCACCAACTAGCCCAGCCAAAGGAGGGTAAGACGATTGTATGCATGTGTGGAATTTCATTTTTGCAATTTACCTTTCATTTTTGTTCTCACCCATTTAATCTTCTCTTGTTCATTGTTAGTTAATAAATTTTTTTTAATGAAAAATGATAATTGTACAAGTGAAAATTAAATCCCTATGTGTTTATTCAGTAAGACTATCATATAACCTCAGAAGATATCGAACCATCTAAATTTTTTGTCCGAACGAGCGACAACTAACTAACTTGTTAATTTTTCTAAATATTTTTTCAGTAAAAAGACTAAATCAAAATGGGTAACACCAAATGCAGCGCAAAAAAAGATATTTACAGATGTAAGTTTTAATTTGTTTCACCTATATGAATAGTTTGACTAATAACTTCATTTTATAGTATAAAGCCCTAATTTTGAAAAAATTACGGGAAAGACAACCAAATGTACCAGCGACATACAAATTAGAACCAGTAAAAACAGGTAGTCATGTGGTAAAAAAAGTTTCAGTAAACCATTATTTGGTAGGTAAAAAATTCTAGTTTAAAACTAAAAAAATATAATGTGTACTAAATTTTAGATTAAATTACCCGATAAAAAATATGCTCACGCAATAGTCGCTGTACCAAAAACTGGTAAAAAGGAAATAACAGAACATAATGTATCAGTACGACGAACAATATTCGATACACTTGAAGCTGCCGAAGAACAATAGAATATTTTTACTGTTAGTTATAACGAACGCGTTCATAACTTTATCTTTTTTTTGAATGTTTAGTATGTCAGTATTTTCAGTTAAGATTTGCATTTATTAGCTACGCCAAATTGTAGTATATTCAAATAGACGATTGAAATATAATAGTAATAATGTTAATAATGCATGTTAAACAATATGTTCATAACGTTATCTTTTTTTTTGAATGTTTAGTATATCAACATTGCTTCTATTCTAGAACAATATTTTTTTCACTGAAATATTATTTTTCGCTTATATTCTAACTATTTATAAATAAATTTCAGCTCTTATAATTATCGATTCAAAGCAAAATTATGACTAATACACTGTAAAACAGTACAAAGACACTTTTTGTTTAACCTCCAAACGCTTTTCATATATATTTTGAAGTATCCTCTACAATGTAGCAAAATTTGAACCAAATCGAAATGGGAGGACCTTCCCTTAAAAAGCAGGAAAAAAAGTTGCGAACAACAAGAAAAATTGATGGAAACTTGAGACATTGTAGGACTATTAGACATAGTATAATGAGCATAACGGTCTGGTTTGAACTATGAAACTGTTTTGTTTTAACTTCTATTCAATAAATTTTTCACGAAATGTTAGTCAGTTAAAGTACGATTAGAATAAAAAATTTAGCCTTATATCTCAACGCTTTAGGGAGCTTTTAGCAAAACCCTGGCTAGTCAAAAAGTAACCCTTTTTCATTCAAATGTTTAATTATTTTGCCTGACACAGAACACCTTGCTCAAGTGTTTGAGTGTCGGACCCTGTTAAGCAGTGAAAAAATTTCTTACTGCGCGATAAAATCTAATCCAGAAAATTGGAAATACTTTGTATTGACGACGAGACAAAATAAAGATATTGCAATTAAGGTGGGTAGTTTTACGTCAGGAAAGTTGATGAACCTTTTAAAAACGGATTGTGCAGGCTTGCGGAACATTTTTAATTGAAGAGGAGACATTGTTTTACAACAGCTATCATTCAAAACTTTGATGAGACTCTAGAAGACTCTACGAATGTTGAAAAAGCAAGGATCTTTCGTAGTTTTTGAAAGTTTTCTAAAAACTACTAAAAATATTTCATGTAACTCAAAGTACTATGAATTCTAAAAGTAGACACAGATATCTACTCAAATATATATTCAACAAATTTTTAGGTTTTTTGTTGAACCGTCGATGGAGGGTAGGTACCTTTAATGTCATCATTTGAGACAACATAACCTAAAAAGGTCACAAGCTTTTATAGTATAGAGATGCTAGTCGTTCTAAGATGAGTCGTCCAGGTAGAGAAAAAATGCAGAAAAAATAAATGCCATTTTGAATCGCGTGTATCTAAACGCCCTTTTCTCAGAAATACCGATTTGACACAAACGTTTGAAAATAATCAGTATAAAAGATAACAATTTGTACAGCAAATCGTTCTTAGAATATACAGAAATTTAATGCATGTTTTTTTAGAACTGGTTATCTTCTTGAACATCTCAGTTAATCGCCTTATTGTTTCGTTTCGTAGAAAAGCACGCTTACCAATACAATATAATTGTTCAGTAGATCAACAAATAGCAGTTCAATGGTCGATTTGGATAATAATCGGCTAAGTCTACTCTCAGGGACAAAAAGAAAGCTAGTGCAGAGTTTCTCTTCAATTACCACAGAAGACTATATAGAAGTTATTTAAAGCAAAAAATGTTCTCATGTTCATACATATTTCAATACGGATGAAGGTCTTATGAAGTTCAAGAGGATTATTGTTTAATTCAAATTATAGCAATCATCGAAATAAAAATGATAATCGCCATTATCATGAACAAAATGCAAACTATGCATCAACCAAGATTTTCACTAAATGACAAGTGAGTGAAAGTTTGAATTTCGAGAATTCTCAAATTCAAAAATTGTCGACATTCTCAATTTCACAATATACACCAAAATGATAAGTTTGTAAAAGTTTGAATTTGCAGAATTCCCAAATTCTGAAATTGTTCAAATTCTCAATTTCGCTATATAAACCAAAATTACACGTGAGCGAAGGTATGAATTTTCAGAAGTCTCCAATTCTGAAATTGTCGATTTCGCAATATACACCAAAATGACAAGTGAGTGAAAGCTTGAATTTGCAGAATTTTCAAAGTCTGTATTTGAACAACAAAGGATGAGTATTCAATATTTAATGCAAAACACGTGACGACGTTTTTGCTCATCAAAAAATCTTTCCTAACGTTTGATCAATAATTAATAATAAGTGAGTAGTCGTGTTATTTAAACAAAAATAAATTCTTTTTGAATATCTCCGATCATTGAGAGGTAAATTAGTTCTGTCAATCCTGTTCTGAAGAACTTTATTTATTTATTTTAATTTCGATTTTTTTAAACAGCAAAAGTTTATTTAATAAAGTAATACGACCAGATAAAAATGTTTGTTTTTATCATTTTTAAGAGTTTCTACTGTTATAGAGAGAAAATTGTTTGAAAAGATTAAAGACATCAGTACCATTGCTGCAGAAGACACTGGACAACTGATCATTTTTCATATGCACTAATCTTGTATATTTATATCGTTTCTGCTAATCAAATTGAGACGTATATTTACTATGTCAACTAAATTGCTCATAGTTCAGAAGAGACCGATTTCTATAAATCTATATAATGAACGTCTTCGTTATCATCATCCATTATCGTGTAATGTGACCGTCAAAGATTTTAATATTTGCTTTAAAATCTCCTTCTCAATGATATAATTGTATGTTCAATACTCTTCAAAAACTAAAACATAATCAATTATTTAAATCCTATTCCTTTTATTTTCATATTATGATTTTATCGAGTGTTATTATACCCATTATATATATATATATATATATATAGAGAGAGAGAGAGAGTACAATCGATAATTTACGCAGTAATTTATTATTTATCATGATTCAAATATATTTTAACTTTCTCACCGTATTTCTTTTTATTCAAATGATTTATACAAGACTAATGAAATGAAAATATGAATCAAAGTTTTGTGGACGAACAAATAGTTCACATGTCAACAGAGATTTTATTTTAGCACAATTGAGACGTGTCGCATCATTAGTAAAGTAATTTGTCACAGTTGCTAATGTTTCGTATTCAATTTCGAGATTCGTCAAACAAGGTAAACGAGTGTTTCTGTCAGAAAGAAACTGTATGACATAGTCAATGTGTACATTGATAAGATTGAGTTTAAATAGATTGTTAAATGTAATCAATGTAGACGAATGATGTTGCTCATTTTTTTGTGGTTCAAAATTAAATATGATTAATTTTTGGAGAAAAGGAAAGTCTTGAGATATGATTTTGAATAATTTATGTTCAAATGGACGTCTAATATCATTCGAACTTTATCGAATCTACCACCTTGAAATAGTTACTCATAAACAAGAAATCATCGAATTAATATGGAACAGAATAAACGTGACAGTTGCCGCTATTATTCATGAGTTTATCATCGGCACATATATCAATTGATTGAAATCCTCTTTTAATGAAACTATTCCGAATGTCATCATTCGATGGAAGATCAATTCCAATACGACTGTTGATAATGTGAGTGTGTATATTGAAGATAAATTTGTTTAGTCGTGGCATATAGTTAAGAACTTCATCGTATAATTGATTGCCATCGATATAAGTTGATTCAGTTCTTATTACTGAAAGATATAACGTTAATTATTCAAGATTTAACATTCGATGAAGTAATGGAACAACTTGTTTATCATAAAAACATGTATACTAATTTGTTGTTAATGAGAAACATTTCAATTCGACAAGTTTTTTCTAAAGAAAACGAGACAATCAGTAGATTTCAAAGGCAAATTTATTTATATTTAATGATCACACTTATACTTACTGTATTATCTATCTTCGATGATAAACGGCTAATTTATTGATACGGATGATCAACGTAAGTATCGAGTATATTAATATCGTTACGACGATATTAATATACTCGATTTGCCAGATGAAATGTTACGTGCCGTTTTCAATAAACTAAATATGACCGATATGCTCTATTCATTGATAGATGTAAATCAGCGATTTGATCAACTAATACTCGATTCTCTCTATATTCATCATCTCGATTTTGTGACCAAACAATCCGATATTCAAAATTCTTCGGTATATACTCGCATTCTTGATTGAATTTGTTCTAAAGTCTTACCTCGAATTAATGAGAAAGTAAACGAACTAACTGTTGATCCACTTTCTATAGAACGTATTCTTGATGCTGTCCATTATCCTCAGTTACATTCATTATCATTGGTCAATTATCAACCAGAAATACTCTTACGACATTTATCAGGTATAATCATGAATTTTTATTTGACTTCTTCAATCACTGATACTTTCACTTACATTTAAGATAAAACCCTATTTCGCCTTCTTCTTAAGCAAATTACACATCTTACTGTCGATATTTATCTTAAGAATGCAGAAATACCTAACGGAAATGAACCAGATATATTTGTATTGATACTAGTATTCAGTAGACATTTAAGGGAGTTGACTTTTTTTCAACTGTCCTCAAGAAAATATCTGACAATTTTGTCTTTAAAGATTTCACTCATAAGTTCTCTAACTTCAACTCTCATCAAATTGAGAATAAATGTCGATTCGTTTGATGATTGTCTTTATCTTCTTAATGGATGTCTTCAATCTTTATTTACGTTGAGCACATTCCCATTTTAGTGTATTTCACTTTGGTGCTTCTTATCTGGATGCGTTTTCAATTACACAACTCATTTCATAAAATATTTTGAAACTTTTGAATTGTTTCCGTCCCAACTGTTTGAGTTTAATTCTCAGTGGCTAAGAATCTTCTATAGTAAAAGAAGAAACAGCGTAGCTTACAATATTTTTGAACAGCATCATCCACGATGAACTTTGAAGTTGTAACAAACTTTCTCCTGTACACAATTTTCCATATTTATCTGGAATACCAAGATTTCG